TTGCCAATTCTAGTACCAATATTGTAATCTCCATATCTTGTCAACATTAAGATAGAATTACTTTTGCCCTAGAGAGATAGCTCAGCTGATTAGAGCATTGTCATGATTGTCAAGGTTTTTGGTTTGATCTCTGGTCAGGGCACATACAAGAATAAACCAACAAATGCATAAATAAGTGGAACAACAAATTGATTTTTTTTCTCTCTCAAATCAATAAATTAGATCATATGATACTTGTCTTTCTCTTACTGGCTCATTTCATTTAGCACAATTCTCCAGGCCCCTCCATCTGTCACAGAGGGCAAGAGATATATCTTCTTTATAGCTGCATAGCATTCCATTGTATAAATGTATCACAGCTTTTTATTTTATTTTTTTATTTTTTTATTCACTCATCTGCTGATGGGCTTTTGGGTTGTTTTCAGACCTTAGCCGGCTATACTAATAGAAGGATAGTATGCAAATTGCTCACAACGCCCTCACAGTAACAGCTGAATAGCAGGTGACCAGGCTGGCAGGGGGGTTAGCGAGGGACGACCAGATAACTGACCAGCAGACTGCGTGGGGTGACCAGGCCCACAGAGGGGTTAGTGAGAGGTGACCAGGCTGATAGAGGGGGGGGGGGGCAGTGAGGGGCGACCAGGCTGGAAATGAAGGCAGTTGGGGGCAACCAGATTGACGGGAGGGGGGGCAGTTAAGGGTGACCAGGCTAGTGGGGATGGGCAGTTAGGGGCAATAAGACTGGCAGGCAGAGGCAGTTAGGAGTGATCAGACTGGCAGGGGGGGAAGTTAGGGGCCATCAGGCAGGCAGGCAGGTGAGCAGTTAGGAGCTACCAGTTCTGGGGTTCTGGATTGTGAGAGGGATGTCCAGTTGTTTGTTTTGGCCTCATGCCAACCGACAGTTGGACATCCCCTGAGGGATTCCAGATTGGAGAGGGTCCAGGCTGGGCTGAGGGGGATCCCCGCCTCCCCGACATGCACACATTTTGTGCACTGGGCCTCTATTGACATAATGCTGCTGTGAACATAGGGATATATACTTTCTGGTTTGTGTTTCAGGATCTGGTTTGTATTTCTAGAAGTGGGATCTCAGGGTCAAATGCCAGTTCCCTTTTTAATTTCTTGAGGAAACTCCACACTGTTTTCCATATAATACCATTTCCACTATTTCCATAGTGGCTGCATCAGTCTGCATTCCCACCAGCAGTGTATTAGGGTTCCCTTTTCTCCACATACTTGCCAGCACTTGTTATTTGTTGATTTATTGCTGGTAGCCATTCTGACAGGTATGATATGATACCTCATTGTTGATTAGTGACACTGAGCATTTTTTTTTTTTCATGTCTTTTGGCCATGTGGAATCTAATGAACAAAACAAAACAAAACAAAATAAAACAAAACAAAACACAACAACAAAATAAACTGATGAACAAAAGAGATCCAGAGTCATGGAAACATGGAGCAGACTGATGAATCTCAGAGGAAAGGGGATAGGGGGAGGAGAGATTAACGAAAGAATTTACTAGTATATGCATATAACCCTTGGACACAAAGAATAGCGAGGTTAAAGCCTGGGCTGGAGCAGCGGTTGTGGGTGGAGGGGATCAATGGGGGCATAAAGGGGACATCCGTAATGCTTTTAATAATCAGGATACATTTTTAAAAAAGATACAATAAAATATATAAATAAAAATTTAAAAATGGATTACTTTTGTTGAACCTCATATCAAATATTATAGTAAATGCTTTATATATATTAACTTCATTTATTATAAATAACTCGATTAAAGCTCCTGAAATTAGTGGTGATGTATTGCAGCTTCCAGATTTAAGAAATTGTTTTGAAAAATTACATTTTTGTTACAGACATTAATCAGATATAACCCAATGCATCTATAAATACCAAAAGAAATGAATCACTTAAATACATACTACCTTTATCACTAATTAAATAAATGTGTGGAAGGAAACCTGACACATTTTAATCCATTTAATTTTCTGCCGATAAGAGTAGTACATGAATCTCAAATAGGAATGAATTAATAAATACTTGAAAACAATTCACTCTGAGAAGAATCTCAACAACACTAGTATATAAATTATGGTCAGAAATTATATCATACAGTTAATGCTTAAATATTTTGACTAATAAATTTGAGATATTTTCACTAATAAATTCTTCCACAAATAAGTTAAGTAGCTTTCATATTAAAGGCTATACATACTTTTTTCCAGATGAGGAAAATAAGACAAGTAAAGATAAATTATTTTCTCACAGTTAAAAGGTAACATTAGACTGCTGACCTTAGGGCCTTTTAGGCCAGTATTTTAATCATTTAAGGGGTATCTTGGCAAGATTTATGTTGACAATAATACACACTAAAGTTTATGAATAACTTTATTTTTGAACTGTTTTCCCTACAAAAATAACACTGTCTCACTGTCTGCATTCAGATTTGCTTTGTGGACATAAAATGCAATTGAAGCTAATGTGCTTGGATTCTGTGTCATTTGTCAAACTAATATATGCTATGTATTGTAAACTCACTGATTTACTTACTTATTTATTTAAAAATATTTATTAGTACCACTAAGTACCAAACACTGCTCTAAGTACTTGGCATACATCAGTGAACTAAATGGACAAAAGTCATGGAGTTTATATTTTTTTAGGCATGGTTCAGACAATAAACATACATAAGCAAGCATTTATTATGGATAGGGAAAAATTTTATAACTACTTTTTTAAATCATGCTCAGGAAAATTGCATAGACAACAACTTGGTTTTTAACTTGATTTATTTTTGTTAATTCCATTTTTACTAGAACAATAAAGTTTGGGGAAACATTCTCTCCAAAAGACAGAGTTAAAATGATGCTATTAATTAAGAAAGTGACCATTTTTGCTCCTACAATAATTTCTTAATTTTTACAACTCATCTAATAGCAATAGTGCTGTGAAATATAGTAATTTAACATTTTGGCTTTATGATGGTAGTTTATAAAAACCTAAAGTACTTTGTGTAACAAAATTTATTTTTCTGTAAACCTTTGTTTTCAATTTATGTTATACTTTTGCTGACTTTGAATATTTATGATCATTTTTTGGTTGTAATTCTAAGTAAAATGTTACATCTTTTTATTATTTAAATGATTCTTGTTTGGAAAGCTTTTTATTTTCCTTTATTACAGTTATCTCCCTAAGTTAACTTTTACTATGAAGAGAAAAATTTTAAAAGGTTTAATATCTTATTGGTATAGCTTGGAATTAAGTATATGGTATGATAGCATTTTATAATGTTAGATATGTTGTCACAAATATTATTAATTCAAATTTTAATACTTAATTTTTTTTGTTAACTTAATTAAATTCATTTCTTATCATCAGAGTGGATTCATTTCTTAAATCTGTTTTAACCAGGAAGCCCTGAATATTTGCATTTTTTTCTATATAAAATGAAAAGTAGACTGAATCTTTTATCTGGGACATTGAATAGACTTTACTTACTCTTATGTTTTAGTGAATAGATGAGGGTACCTGTGATTAGAGGAGAAGGGTTTTAGAAAGAATTTTGAGACAGAATAGCAAGTGGTCAATCAAGAGAGTGTTCTCCATAGACTTAGGAATAGTTATTAAAACAACACACAAAACAGCAAGTTTTCACTTGGATTATTGCTTTTTTACTTAGTTTTCAAACAATTCTCAATGAATATCATTCTTTTCTATTCTTTGTTTTAGCTAGTGTGATCCAGTAACAATGAGGAATATAGTGAAGGAATAAATGGGAAGGAAGTAGAATGTTTCTAGAACCTCATTTAAAGAGATTTTCTTCTCTTTAAATATTTAGTTATTTAAAATCAATTGATATTTGAGGTTCAGAAGTAGAAAAATGGCAGCTCTGTGCTCTAATTCTCTAAGCCTCTTCTCCGACTTTTCCATCTAGTCTTTCATAACTGTTTAATTAGTGGTCAAGTTTCCATCATAATCTTGTATATAGAAAATATTTCTTTTCTCTCTTTTGTTTGCCTGGAGATAAGACTTTTCTTATGTAGCTGTGGAAGTATCAGATATATCTTTTTTTGCAAATTTTTTCTTTGGGGAGAAAATTGCTTTGTTTCCAAAGGGAATTAATTCTAAGCCTAACCCTGGAGAAATGACAAATGAAACCCATAACCAGGCTTGTGAAAGCATGTTCATTTGTAGTTTAAGATGGATAGTTACTAAGATTTAACAGATATTAGATTTCTGTTACAATTGTTGGTATTTTTACTAGTAAATAAATTTGAGGAAGGAGTAATTTAGCCTAGTCCACATGAACCTTTGTTGTGATGTTTGGCGTGGTTGCCAGCTTTATAATGGCCCTGATAACCTTTGCTTAGCTAATATGTACTGTATTTTCCGGCGAATAAGACGACACCCGATTTTTCGGTTGACGTTTTTTCGTTTCAAAAGTCGTCTTATACGTCGGAAAATACAGTATGTCATTTTTAGAATTTATCCTAAAAGTGACCATTTGCCTGTCACATGCAAACTTAAGTGGTAAAATGGCTGCTGAGCAGGGAGATGAAGGGAGAAAGAAGTTGTGATCTTGTAGGAATAAATTCACTCATAAAGAGAACATGTTTCTTTTTGAGATAATGGAAAGATTAACTAAAATCATATGGTTGAATACATTTTGTTTAGTTTGATTGATTATTCAAATATACAATCTTATTCTTCATATATGACCTGTTGCATAATAATATAAATAAGAAAGCAAAGTGATATTGGATCTTAGAGGACTTTCAGGCTTAGAGTTAATGAATTTATCTGGTAGAGCCCTCATGTACATGGTTGATTTAATATGCAGCTTTTGCTTTTTGCTTCTTATTGTTGGGACTAAAGTTATTCGCCAACTTGTGGGCCAGTCAACATCAATGTGTTTTCTTTAACTCTATGAATCTCAGCATATGCTAATTCTATATATCCTAAATAAATACGTATCTTACTCTTTCCACAGCATAGAGAGTCCATGAAGCACGGGACAAAGCTTCCTACTCATACCAGAAGACCTCTTTGAAAGATTCACTCCAGGACTACCAGTGACACTAATTTGTCTGAATCATCATGTGTTGAAACAGCAGAAGGCTACTACCTTTGCACTAACAGGAAACAATTAAGATGTTTGCGATTCTTTGAGCTCCAGAAAGCCAGGGGAGTGAGTTGAAAATCTGAAAATGCGGCCATGGACTGGTTCCTGGCGTTGGATTATGCTCATTCTTTTTGCCTGGGGGACCTTGCTGTTTTACATAGGTGGCCATTTGGTACGAGATAATGACCACCCTGATCACTCTAGCCGAGAACTGTCCAAGATTCTGGCAAAGCTTGAACGCTTAAAACAGCAAAATGAAGATTTGAGGCGAATGGCTGAATCTCTCCGGTAGGTTCTAAAAACTGAAGGAAGAGTGATGAAATATTGTAATTTGCATTTAGGTGCAGGGTTTCACTTAGCTATTAAAAAATACTTAATTATTTCTATAAGCTATTTTTGCAAAAATTTAAATATCTTAATAAGGTACTTTTATACCAACATCTCAATAGTGCATTTCTCAATAGTGGCCAATCTTATTTTACATATGAATTTTAATATAGAAAAGCTATACCAGTTAATTTATATACTTATATTTAATTTATAATTATCTTTGGAATTTTGTTAATTTTGATACATTAAATGCAAACTTTGTATGATTTAAATTAGTGTATATTAAATTATTTATCATAGGGACTATAATAAAAACATTATCATTGAGAGGCTGATCTACTCTAAACTATAACATTAAAATAAAGAACAATAATATATATCCTTAAATAAAATAATTGATCTAGAATCTAGAAAATTATTATCATTGCTATTTCTAGTCTATTAAAAAATGTGACATATATCGATGTTTCTGACTCTCTATCCCTCTCTCTTCCTCTCTGTAATAAATCAATAAAATATATATATATTTAATATATTTTATTGACTTTTCAATAAAATATATATATATATATATATATTTTTAATTTATTGATTTTTCACAGAGAGGAAGAGAGAGGGATAGAGAGTCAGAAACATCGATGAGAGAGAGTCATCGATCAGCTGCCTCCTGCACACCCTCACTGGGGATGTGCCCGCAACCAAGGTACATGCCCTTGACCGGAATCGAACCCGGGACCCTTGAGTCTGCAGGCTGATGCTCTATCCACTGAGCCAAACTGGTCCCGGCTAAATCAATAAAATATATTAAAAAAAAAAAAAAAGGCAAGAACAGGAACTGAAAGTTCAGAAGATGCACACTGTCACTTCTGCCATATTTTGTTAGTCTGTGTTAGTCAAAGGGCCACTCTACATTCAGGAAATGAAGGGAGGAATTGCAGAGAATTTGTAGCCATAGTTAATCCATCATTCTCATCTTCAGAAATAATATTGGATAGATTAAATTCGGTCAAATCATAGTGGTCCTGAACAACCAGAGTTTAGTTTAGACTTGGTTGATAGATAATAGGGAGCTATAGTGTCGCTGAGAAATGGCACAGTGAAAATGTTTGAGGAAGATTTAGATTTTCATATGGATTTCGGGCATGTACCTGACTAGAGTAAAGTTAACTGGGAGACACAGTATTATTCTAGGCATGAGGTGATGCTGATCTAGATTAAATTAATTACTGAATCTGTTTTTGTACCAAGATATACAGGCTTATTTATTCATGTCTCCTACTTGATTTTATTTGGCTTTCCCCACATACCTTTCTTACTTGTTAATTGCCAGGACATTAAGTATACATGCAGTAAGCTTCCTTTTTAAAATTTAGAAATTATCACGTTGTTGGCCTGCTATCCTATAAAATACCTTTTCATGCTTCATATTTGTTTTGTCTTACTAATGTGAAATTACTATTAGTTCACAGAATATTTGCATTTGGGAATATGAGCCTGCACTTTGCCTCTCAGTTAGAAAACATCTGGAAAATTATCGAAACATGTTCAGAAACCCCTTGAGTAGTGAACCTTAAACTGGACAGATACCAGAACTGGATAGGATTTATAAAATATAAAGAGCACTTAATTGACAGCTTTCCTCTTAACTTAAATCCTCATTTTTCTAGATTCATTAATTTTGAGAATACCACTTTAAAAAATTCAAATTTGACTTCATGGCCTATTAATAAGGGTTTTTTGTTTCTTTGTTCTTTTGTTTTTTTTTTGTTTGGTCCAGGAAGGTAGAAGAAATTTTTTTCTGGAATTTAGTTGTCAGTCCTAAACTATAAATTTACAAACCAAAAAGAATGCATAATTCACTTATGATTACCTGTTTTTCTAAGTTATGTAGTAATCTTTCCAAGCATGAAGCTTCTGGTGGGTGGGAAAGTTTGTCCCAGGCAGTAGAAGTATATGGAACAGTGATGATGGGTAAAAAGAAAACTGATGTGGTTTTTCACAGCTTATATGTTACTTGCTCTGTTTGAGAAGCCGGTATTAGAAAGTGGGGTGTGTGTGTGTGTGTGTGTGTGTGTGTGTGTCTGTGTGTCTTTGTTTCTGTTGATTGAGAATTTACTCTTGGCTCTCCTTTGTGTAATGAGCAACTGAATGGATTAGAATGCATAGAACACTTGTCATCTATCTAAAACCTTTAATTATATGTGGTTTTATTTTTGCAACTCTGCATCCATTATTCCTCTACTATCAAGAATACCTTTCCCTGGTGTGGCTCAGTGGTTGAGTGTTACCTATTAACCAGAAATGGAACCATGCTTCCATTCCTGATCAGGGCCCCTGCACAGGTTGCAGGCTCAATCCTTATTGGGGGGCATGCAGGAAGCGGTCTATAAGTGATTCTCTCTCATCATTGATGTTTCTATCTCTCTCCCTTTCCCTTTGTCTTAGAAATGAATAAACTTATATTTTTAACAAAGAATATCTTAATGTTTTTTTAGCTGATAATATTGTAGTGAGATTTTTTAGTCAAGATCCCTAGATTCTCCAGCCGATAATTAGATATTTCTTCCTAGACTTTGTATTAACGTTTTAATATATTGCTGGATTAAATTTACCAGTGTTTTATTTTGAATTTTTTCTATGTTAACCAGACATGTTTAATGTAATTTTTCCTTCTTACAATGTCTTTTGTGTTTTGCTATCAAGGTTACACAGGTTACACTGTCCATTTCTATTTTCTAAAAGGATTTGAATAAAATTGGTACTCATTCTATTTTAAATCTTCGTTAGAATTTCAAAAGTGAAACCATCTGGGCCTGTAGTTTTTTTTTTTTTTTGGGGGGGGGTGTGAATTTGGGTTTAGAAGGGAAAGGGAACATGTGAGAAGGTTTTAAATTATGGAGTTGATCTTTTTAGTTTTAATTATATTATTTGGATTTTTTATATTTTTCTTCCATTAGTAAGATGTATTTTTTCAAGGAATGAGCCCATTTTATCAACATTTTCAAATTAGCATAAAGTTGTTCAATAATGCCTTTTAAATTTTCTTCTCCTTACCTGTAATATCTGTGTTAATTCCCCTTTTTCATTCATTTGTGTTTTCTCCTTTTATCTTGCTAGGAGTTTATCTAGTTACATACCTTTTCAAAGGACCAATCTCTAGTTGTTTTTCTTCTCTTGTATGTCTGTTTTATTGATGTCTACTCTTAGTTTGATAATTTTCTTTTGTATAGTCTTTTTGGGTTTTATTGCTGTTCTTTTTGAAGTTTATTCAGAAATAATTTTATATCATTGATTTTAAACCTTGCTTCTTTTTATATCTCTCTCTAATCAGAGCTTTAAGTTGTATCCCACGAGTTTGACAATGTCCTATTTAAATGTCATTCAATTAAAAGAATTTTAAAATTTCTATTAGGATTTTTTTTCTTTGACCCACAGTCTATTTTGGAGTATGTTGCTTAATTTCTAAGTGGGTTTATTCAACTTATATTTCTAATTTTTATTTCTATTTTGTTCTTCAACCATCTGAACTTGTATTCTGTATCATTTTAATTCTTTGAAATTTATTAAATGGCTCAGCAAAAGACATGTTATGTTGGTGAATGTTTTTGGAAAATATTTTCTGCTGTTGTTTGGTCTGCTTTTCTGCACGTCTAACAATTATGTTGGTTTGGTTAATTGTGTTGTTAATATTTTCTAAATTAATATAGATTTATTTTTTTCTCTAATCTGCTTCTATCAGCTAATGAGAAAAGTCTTTGACAGTGGGTTTATATGCACTTCTGTATTTGGTGAATGTAAATTTCAGACTTTTATTTTCTGTGAATTGATCCTTTAATTATTATTAAATATTTTTATTAACTGTCATAATATTTTTTTTGGATATAAAGTTTAATATATTTGGTATAAATATTGCCATACCAGCTTTCTTTTGGTTATGGTTTGCATGGCATATTTTTCTCGTCTTTTTAATTTTTACTTTCTTGTATCCTTATATTTAAATGTACATTTAAATATTTGAAGTGTTTCTTCTAAGAATAGGGCTGGATCTTATTATTTTGTCCAGTGATAACCTTTTCTTATTCACTTACATTTAATATAATTGTTAGATTTAAGTCTACCACATTGTTTCCCCCCTCCCCCCATTTAACCCATCTTTTAATTTCTTTTTAGTTTTCCTTTGTTGCCTTCTTTTGAATTGATGGAATTTTTTATTGTTATCCTATTTTTTTCACTTACAATAGACTTTTAGTTATATCTTTTAATTTATTTTCTAAATTTATTCTCTTAATCTCATATCACGAGGCTATGAGAAATTTCAGTCTGTTTTAACAGTTGCTCTCTAGCCTCCTTTGAAGCCCCAGAATTCATTAAGTGGTCTATGGAGAAAACTGGCTGTGTTTAGTGCATCTGCAGTTTCCAAATTTTCACACCTTCTGTGGGACCCAAGCCTGTGCTTCACATTGTATCTGGAATCAGCACGTGTTCCCCAATCAAGAGCATGGCTTATAACAGACTACTGTCCTGTGGAATTTTAGTTAATATAATCATGCACTTAAATACCTCACGTGGCTTTTTTAAAAAGTTACATTTAGAAGTTATCTATTTGTTTTTTGTATTATTATTGTTATTACAGCAAGAATAGGGTTTGCCATTACATATTACATTCTACTTGGAACTAAAAGTATTTTACCTCAATTGAAAATGAAGTTTATGTATACTGATGTTGCTGCCAAAGAGGGATTTCCATTAGTTCCTAAACCTAGATCTCTGGAGCTGTTCTGGTTCTTGCCCTTTCTAAGACCTGGTTTTTCCGGTTTTAACTTTTTCTCCCATTGTACCTCCCTTCCCAGTCCCCCTCTCCCCCTGCTGCCCCCATTTGAATGGTAAAGAAAAGGAGAAATTTAGTTCAATTGGAAGATTTTAACTATCACTGTAATCTCTGCTTCATTGACTGATTT